TGGTATGACTAGTCCCTTAAAAACACTTTTACAGCCCCAGATTACATCGGAGATCGGTTTGCCAGACGACCAAATGCTCCGCCTTGTGGAAGCCAACTATCTAGGGATGACCCTTGCAGCATGTGCAGCCTGGAAGGGAAGCTTTGGTATCTCCCAAGACTCCCCGAGCTCCGAGACTGGCAATGACAGACGGCAAATTATCAGAATGTGGCTTCTACCGGCTGAGAAATATTTGATCTTCTGGGGTCTCTAAACTAGCGAATTCCAATATATACTGTTTGCTTTCTGCGTTAGCTTTTTGAATGGCAGCTGACACTTTGCGTTGTGGTTTGCAGCTAGGCTGTGATATCTACACCTTTGGACCCAAAACATTCGATTTCCGCAAAACCCTAATTAATCCCAGTGGGTCTATTCTCGTTTGCAACAATTTAAGGCCCTGGAACCCACATAGAGGGTATAGACAAATAGTACTCGATGTTCTTACATTTCGCAAATCTGTATCTTTACCATCAACATCAATTTACACTTTTGTCGTTAACCGCCGAGGGAGTTAACAGTTTGCGATCCATTGCCTAATGGTTAGCAGTGTTTACTGTCAATTCGTGTCGATGTACAAGATCTTTAATGTCATCAATCCATATGCCCCTAGGGCGGCCTCTTCCTTTCAAGTCAGATATTTTCACTTGTATCGCTGTGTTAGTAGATGTTATGGTTGTCATCAATCCATCTGCCCCTAGGGCGGCCTCTTCCTTTCAAGTCAGATATTTTCACATGTATCGCTGTGTTAGTAGATGTTATGGTTGTCATCAATCCATCTGCCCCTAGGGCGGCCTCTTCCTTTCAAGTCAGATCTCTTCACTTGTATCGCTGTGTTAGTAGATGTTATGGTTGTCATCAATCCATCTGCCCCTAGGGCGGCCTCTTCCTTTCAGGTCAGAGCTCTTCACTTGTAACGCCGTGTTAGTAGATGTTATGGTTGTCATCAATCCATCTGCCCCTGGGGCGGCCTCTTTCTTTCAAGTCAGATATTTTCACTTGTATCGCTGTGTTAGTAAATGTTATGGTTGTTTTCCAACGAGATACCCAAACCATTTGATCTTCTATTGGTGGTTATGTGGGCAACTTTCTTCAGGATTCATATTTTACAGGTGTTGACATTACGTAAGCGAGACATGATTCGACTGCAAAGACTATACTTCACGGAATATCGTCAGGGGGGGGGGGAGAGAGAGAGAGAGACATGTGGTAGTCTAAGAAGAGATGGGAGGGGCGCAGGCGAAACTGGAATGATAACATCAAGGACTAAATTACTGAACAGATAGCAGGTTTTGTGTCCTAGTGCTTCCATCGATACAACTCCACATCGGTGACCGCGTCATCAATTAGCTGGCCGGTAGACGACTTCGTCGTAACAGTATTTGGGCCTGTCTCTTTTGATAGCGAGCTTGGGGGCGAGCAATGCTCTGCCATATTATATTGCGCACAAAAATCTATTCACAAATACCAGGTTTTCCTGAAATATTTTAGTTCAGATGCCCAAAATAATAAATTCCAAACTCACAAAACAATATTTTATTACATTCGTAAGTACGACAACATGTCCTCCGCGATACATGTACGGTAGCCTGTTTTGGCCGTAAACGAAGTTTTTCGCTGCCCGCACATGATTCTCAGAGGCTGTTTCAACGAAATCATAATTAAATCAATGATCGGATTTCCCCGGACACTTTTTCTGTCGCTCAACATCCCAATGAGCTGAAGTTTCGGCAATGTAACTGCGTATGGGGCGTCGCAGGTCGACCCAGCCTAAAGTAGGTACCAAGATGTGTGTCCTGGGGGAAGTAAAGACGGCCGGCGTAATGCTCACTCCATTATCCACAAAGTGCCGATTGGTCTGCAAAACATGTCGATGTTCTTCCCATATGCCCGATGCGGTTAAAAGGCATGAAAAGGGATCTTTACTTTACTTGAGCTTTATAAAAGCTACATCTTAGGGCGTCACAATCTGCACGGGCCTCAACAGATTCCATTTTTCCACACATGCAGTTTTTTTAATATATTTTAAATCTCTCCGCCTTCCCTAACCCTAATATTTTCAATTATAACATAGGTTTTCCGAGGAACATATAATTTATGTGATTTTGCAAACATATTCTTTATTATTTCTTTTAATACAAAATAAACAACATTATATTTCCATTATCCATATATTCTTCTTCTTCTTCTTCTTCTTCTTCTTCTTCTTCTTCTTCTTCTTCTTCTTCTTCTTCTTCTTCTTCTTCTTCTTCTTCTTCTTCTTCTTCTTCTTCTTCTTTCTTCGCGTTCACCAGATGTAAACTCTGGCGAAAAGTTCTGGTTGTTCGTCCACTCCTGTCTATCTGTCTTTTTTTATTATTGTATGTATGTATGTATGTATGTATGTATGTATGTATGTATGTATGTATGTATGTATGTATGTATGTATGTATGTATGTATGTATGTATGTATGTATGTATGTATGTATGTATGTATGTATGTATGTATGTATGTATGTATGTATGTATGTATGTATGTATGTATGTATGTATGTATGTATGTATGTATGTATGTATGTATGTATGTATGTATGTATGTATGTATGTATGTATGTATGTATGTATGTATGTATGTATGTATGTATGTATGTATGTATGTATGTATGTATGTATGTATGTATGTATGTATGTATGTATGTATGTATGTATGTATGTATGTATGTATGTATGTATGTATGTATGTATGTATGTATGTATGTATGTATGTATGTATGTATGTATGTATGTATGTATGTATGTATGTATGTATGTATGTATGTATGTATGTATGTATGTATGTATGTATGTATGTATGTATGTATGTATGTATGTATGTATGTATGTATGTATGTATGTATGTATGTATGTATGTATGTATGTATGTATGTATGTATGTATGTATGTATGTATGTATGTATGTATGTATGTATGTATGTATGTATGTATGTATGTATGTATGTATGTATGTATGTATGTATGTATGTACGTACGTACGTATGTACGTACGTATGTATGTACGTACGTACGTACGTACGTACGTACGTACGTACGTACGTACGTACGTACGTACGTATGTATGTATGTATGTATGTATGTATGTATGTATGTATGTATGTATGTATGTATGTATGTATGTATGTATGTATGTATGTATGTATGTATGTATGTATGTATGTATGTATGTATGTATGTATGTCTGTCTGTCTGTCTGTCTGTCTGTCTGTCTGTCTGTCTGTCTGTCTGTCTGTCTGTCTGTCTGTCTGTCTGTCTGTCTGTCTGTCTGTCTGTCTGTCTGTCTGTCTGTCTGTCTGTCTGTCTGTCTGTCTGTCTGTCTGTCTGTCTGTCTGTCTGTCTGTCTGTCTGTCTGTCTGTCTGTCTGTCGGTCGGTCGGTACGTACGTACGTACGTCTGTCTGTCTGTCTGTCTGTCTGTCTGTCTGTCTGTCTGTCTGTCTGTCTGTCTGTCTGTCTGTCTGTCTGTCTGTCTGTCTGTCTGTATGTATGTATGTATGTATGTGTATATACTATGTAGGTATGTTTGTGTGTGTGTGTGTGTGTGTGTGTGTGTGTGTGTGTGTGTAAATACAAACCCAGCATGTTGTACAAACTCTATTGTGAGTATTTGCAAATTTAAAACAGAGAAATGGTTAACCAGGGCAAGCAATTTACGAGAAACCTCTGGCTTGTTTCTCTGTTTGACTCTCTGCTATCTCTGCGCTGACGGAAGACCACCCCAGAGTTGGATTTCTCGAGCTTTTAATTCGCGTGCATCAGTAAAGACATTCCGCGAAGGCTGAAGGTGCATGTTCTGTCCTTCATGCTTCTGAAATAGGAAGGAGCTTATTTCATTTTGTTTTTTGTTTTTTCCCCGCAGACTTTCTCTCCGTTTCGTTAAAACATGATTTTGACGGGAGAAACGAGCATCGCGGTTGGCTGGCACGGTCACGGCCCGGAGATTTTGACAAGATGGCGGACAGGTGACGTTGCTTCCTGCCGCGGTTAATAGCAAACGTCAGATCGGAAAAGCTGAGGGATTAAAATGAAAATACCTAATTATATTCTCTGAATGTGATACCTTTACCTGAAGAGATGGAAGGGCTGATTCGTTTATTGAGTTTTAAACCGTGGTCTTGGAATGTTGTTGTTTTACAGTTAAGTTCGATTCCCGCTGCGGACGATTTGTCTTGCGTTTTTTTTCGACGGTGGTACCGAGGGCTGACTGTTCAGAAACAATGGCAAACTACTGAACCTATAATGTGTCTGGAAAAACCACAACAGCCAAAATTTGCTGAGGTTGGTTCTGCAACATCCTGTAAATGATACGCAACGAAGAGTTTAGTAAATGTGTATATGTGGTTCATCAGCGTGTGGTAAAGTCGAACTCTTTTTCACAATTACCTTGGCTCCCAGGTCGACCCAACCTTGAGTGAGTACCAGGTCTAGTCCTGCAAAGTAAAGGCGGCCGGCGTGATGCTGACCCCATCACCAACCAAGTGCCGATTGGTCTATAAGATACAGGTCTAGCCCTATATGCCCAACACGCCTGAAGGCGCGGGAAAGGTTCCTTTAAATTCTAGCCAGCTTTTCATTTCATCAGTTCCTAATCCAACTTTTCATTTCATCAGTTCCCAATCCAACTTTTCATTTCATCAGTTCCCAATCCAGCTTTTCATTTCATCAGTTCCCAATCCAGCTTTTCATTTCATCAGTTCCCAATCCAACTTTTCATTTAATCAGTTCCCAATCCAGCTTTTCATTTCATCAGTTCCCAGTCCAGCTTTTCATTTCATCAGTTCCCAATCCAGCTTTTCATTTCATCAGTTCTCAATCCAGCTTTTCATTTCATCAGTTCCCAATCCAGCTTTTTATTTCATCAGTTCCCAGTCTAGCTTTTCATTTCATCAGTTCCCAGTCTAACTTTTCAAGTGCTGATCATTTTTTTTGCAGGTGTGGTTCCAGAATCGACGAGCCAAATGGCGAAAGCGGGAGAGGTTTGGGCAGCTGCACACCATGAGAGCTATGGCGTCCGCCGCAAACCAAGGCTACGACATGCATCTCCCGGCCCGGCACGACGCTTATCCTCAGATGCAGGTGAGCTTGTTTTCTCTTTTGGAGAGGCTGAATTGGCAGCAATTGTCTGGTATAAGAATGGATAACCATTTGATAACTTTTTATTTTCTGACAATTATTCTCTTTATTATACCACTTTTGCAGTCTGAATACAAAGATATCCATACCAAAAGTATAACTAGCCTTTATCACAAACACAAACGACAAGTGGACGTTGCGGCTGTAGAGCCTTCGTCAGCGCATTTAATAAAAATATACAATACCTAAAATACGAACAAGAGTACACACAATTACTTAACCGAAGTATTTCTGAAGAGTAATCCACATGTATGGCCGGTCGAATGCCTGACACGCCTGTGAACACCGTAAAGAAATATACACAATGATGGGGAAACAGCGTCGTTACCAGGCCTGGTTTGGATGTTCTCAAGCCGTTGTAATCGAGTGAATTGTTCGCTGGCTCAGGTTATCTCAACGTGTGTCTTATCCAAAGTCAGAGTCTTTTCTTCATCTATTGGTCCACTGGAATTTGTTTAGCTCTCTCCCGAAGCTCCAGATTAGTGATTCTTTCATATTTTTCTTTCTCCCTATATGTTGCACAAGCACCAGTTAATGAATGCCTGTAGTTTAGTAGTGAATGCCTAGTGCTTAGTTAATGCTGGGTCAACCAGAGGCCAGCTCTGGGAAAAATCGGGCCTGTAGGTGAGCCTCTAGCCACTATGCAACCTGGCTCCCCGGGTTTCCATGACCACCCAGCAAAACATAGGCACCAAAAAACGTTGTCTGAGCCAAAAGTAGCCTGTGTGATATTACTTTTGGTTCGTTGATAAAGACTTGTGCAGAAACGTCTTTACTTTTTTGTTTAATCATAGCGTATACTGAACCTGTGGTTTTTTTTTTTTTTTTTTTTTTTTTTTTTTTTTAGACATGGACAAGCTAAAAAATGTTACTTGCAGCAGAGATATGGTTTTAGGGAAGAATGGAAAGAATACATTGGAATATTCGAAAAACTGACAAGACGGTTCTTAATGCAGAACGAATGAACGAACAAACGAACTTTGTTTTAACAGGGTCATTAATTTGGCACGCAGGCCTGACTTACATTCGACGCTTGAAAATACTTACCTTTCACACTCCGATTGTATTTTTAATCAACAAAACATCTTATGATTACATAACAGACGTAGTTGGTCGGCTTAGAAAAGACGGTGGTGAAGGGTGCAGTTTGTGGAAAGCGAGGCAGGGGTTAACCTCCCCGTCGATGGATACAGAACATTGAAAATGGATAGGTATTAAAAGCACATGGGGCTAGGGAAAGTGATACTTTCAGGCGTGCTGTGAAGAGAGCGACGTTCTGTAAATGACTCGCTGATTGATGATGATGAGCTGGTCTATGTGGGTGTACGTGTGTGTGTGTGTGTGTGTGTGTGTGTGTGTGTGTGTGTGTGTGTGTATTTTGGACATGTTAAGAGGAGGAAGTGACTCCACAACTAGGTTGCAACAGGTAAGATTTATAGAAAAAGAGCAAGGTGATAGCAAACAGATAAATATCTAGATGCCTCACCATATGGATGGATGCGAGACAAGAACAATGACGTAATCCAGGAATATTGTAATCTGATCAGATGGCGAAACAGGACTGGCTGTGCTTATCAGACTGGCTGATCATGATGATGATGATGAGCTACAAAATAAGATCCTTGTAGATGACTTGTTTCCCCTATGCTGACGAGATGTTTCATCACCATATGATTTTTACCTTCTTGTTTCTCCAGTGTTGACATGACGTTTTATCAAAATACATTTTAAATCTCTCATTTCTCCAATACATAATTTCTCTTGCTTGTTTCCCCTATGTTAACATAATGTTTCATCAACAGATAATTTCTCTTGCTTGTTTCCCCTATGTTAACATAATGTTTCATCAACAGATAATTTCTCTTGCTTGTTTCCCCTATGTTAACATAATGTTTCATCAACAGATAATTTGACTTTCTTGTTTCATTTATATTGAAACGATGTTTCTTGAACATATGATTTTTACCTTCTTGTTTCTCCAATGCTGACATGACGTTTTATCAAAATACATTTTGAATTTCTTTTTTCTCCAATACTGATACGATGTTTCATCAACACATAATTTCTCTTGCTTGTTTCGCCTATGTTAACATAATATTTCATTAACAGATAATTTGACTTTATTGTTTCATTTAAATTGAAACGATGTTTCTTGAACATATGATTTTTACCTTCTTGTTTCTCCAATGCTGACATGATATTTCATCAACATACATTTCGACTTTCTTGTTTTTCCAACACTGACACGATGTTCCAATAACAAATAATTTCGCCTGTTTGTTTCCCCATAATGTTTCATCAACCTACAATTTGACTGTCTTGTTTATCCAATATTGACACGATGATTTATCAACATGTAATTTGACTTTCTTGTCTCTCAAATACTGACACGAAGTTTCATCAACAAATAATTTGACTTTCTTGTGTCTCCATTACTGAAACGATGTTTCATCACTATTGACACAATATTTTATCAACACACAATTTGACTTTCCTGTTTCCCCTACGCGGACCCCATGTTTCATTCATGGTTGACACAATATTTTATCAGAAAACAATTCGACTTTCCTATTTCCCCTACGCGGACACGATGTTTTATCATGGTTGACACAATATTTTATCAAAAAACAATTCGACTTTCCTATTTTCCCTACGCTGACACGATGTTTCATCATTGTTGACACAATATGTTATCAAAAAACAATTCGACTTTCCTATTTCCCCTACGCGGACACGATGTTTCATCATTGTTGACACAATATTTTATCAAAAAACAATTCGAATTTCCTTTTTTCCCTACGCGGACACGATGTTTCATCATTGTTGACACAATATTTTATCAAAAAACAATTCGACTTTCCTATTTCCCCTACGCGGACACGATGTTTCATCATTGTTGACACAATATTTTATCAAAAAACAATTCGACTTTCTTGTTTCCCCTACGCGGACACGATGTTTCATCAACAATCATATTTCTGTCTGGATGCTTCCAGAACCCGGATTCCTCCATGATGTGGATGGAGATGTACAACCACTACGGAAACAACATGTGGAGCCCCATGTCAGCCATCAAAGGTTACCATTTATCCATGGGTGTGTACCTGTTTTGATTATTTTTACTTACAAGCTGCTTCTTTTCTGTGGCGACTTTCTGGTATGGTTCAGATGCCATTTTCTAACCGTAAAAGGATCGCCTCGACTTTCGACAGGGTTCCGTTTCCACTAACAGGTCGTAAGTCGAGCTAGTCGTAAGTCGAATTTATTTTCTTCAACACTATTTTTTTTTTTGAAATATAAGTATTATTAATTTTATTATTTATTTATTATGGTCGTAAGTCGCATATGTTGTAAGTCGCATAGGTCGTAAGTCGAAGATAAGGCGTGGTACCATTTGCACAGAGCACATTATCACCCTCCTCCCCCCTCCCCATCCTCTCTCTCGCATTTCTGCCTCTCTGATTCGTACTCCTGTATCTATCTCTGTTTTTATCCCCCCCCCCCCACCCCCCACCCCCCGCCACTTTTTTCTTTTTCTTCCTGCCCCAATCGGCTTTTCCCTGTTCCCAAATATCACTCGCTTTCTCTCTCAGCCCACCTTCTTTGAATCTCCTCTTTCCTTCTTTCTCCCACTATCCTACACCCTCTCTCCTTCCCCTTCTCTCAATCATCTCTGTCTATCTCTGCCTTTCTCTCAATCCTTTTTTTTTCCTTTCTATCTTCCCAAGCCCCCCCCCCCCCCCTCTCTCTCTCTCTCTCTCTCTCTCTCTCTCTCTCTCTCTCTCTCTCAATTTCTCTCTAACTCTCCCATTCCCTTTTTCTTTCTTTTCCCGGGTTCTCTTTCTTTTCTTGAATACCAGGTGGATCCGCATAAAATGGGAAGTAAAGGCGGCCGGTGTAATGTTAACCAAACGCCCATTGGTCTGTTCAAACATACTCTGCTATATGATGTTGCTTCACATGGTTTCATTACTGTATAGAGTGTGCACAGAGGTCGAGATTCGGTGTTGGAGAACAGTTGCAGGCAACCTTCCTTGCGGAGATGCCACCACGAGGATTTTTTGTTTATCTAAATTGTTAACTTTTATGTCCGCTTGTAGATATCCAAATCTATCTATCTGTCTGTCTGTCCGACTGTCTGTCTGTCTGTCTGTCTGTCTGTCTGTCTGTCTGTCTGTTTGTCTGTCTAATCTGTCCGTCTGTCTGTCTGTCTGCCTGTGCGTCTGTGTGTCCGTCCGTCCGTCTGTCTGTCTGTCTGTCTGTTTGTCTGTCAATCTACATGTCTGTCTGTCTGTCTGTCTGTCTGTCTGTCTGTCTGTCTGTCTGTCTGTCTGTCTGTCTGTCTGTCTGTCTGTCCGTCCTTCTGTCCTGAGATTAACACAAATCAAACAATGCTAATCCCACAGATGCTGCACAGTCCCTGGGAAGCAAGTGGCCCCCGGCTGTGCCCCCAATGTACCCCTCATGGAACGACCCCCAGCTGCTGTATCCGTCCTCCCAGCATCAACATCCTCCACCTGAGGCCCTCCACGGGGCCTGTGTGCCTCCACAGCGACACGACATCAACTCCGTCTACTCGCCGCCCAGCAACTTTCAACAGTGTACAGCCGGTTCTGGGCCATGAATAGTACTGATGATTTGTGTCGGGTCTTGTCTTTTTGTTGTATATATTCACAAACATTAGCACACATACACACAGCCGCACACGCCTGTGTCTACATTTGTCGGTCACCACATATTGACGCCCACATGAATATACATCTATACACACACACAAACACGCAGACACACACACACACACACACACACACACACAGATAAACACACACATATATGTGTGTGTGTGTGTGTGTGTTTCTGTGTGCAGCAGATAGACAGACAGGCAGGCAGGTAGGAGACGGGTAGTAAGAGACGCACAACTAGGTAGGTTAATAAACAGACAGACAGACAGACAGACAGACAGACAGACAGACAGACAGACAGACAGACAGACAGACAGACAGACAGACAGACAGACAGACAGACAGACAGACAGACAGACAGACAGACAGACAGACAGACAGACAGACACACAGACAGACAGACGGGCAGATGAATGGATAGCAGGTTGATAAACAGACAAAAAGACTGACAAGTAGGCGTGTAGATACGAAGTAAGATATATCAATAGACATGTACATACTCAGATACAATAGATCAGTGAAATACTTCAACAGTCCAATCTCACAGAACATATGACTAACGAAAATCCATGCAATGGTGTCTCATTATTGATGAAGTCTGATTTATTTATTGATGTATAATGTTCTAATATTTTCTTGTTGTCCGTCCAGCCAGATTGTTTACATATTGAAGCTTTGAATCTAAACACAGAAGGTTTAAAGTTACTATGCGTTGTGAATATTTTTTTTTTTTTAGCCGCTCTAAGAACAACGTCAGTCAATAATATTTGATTGTGGTTTGTAAAAGTGTGTAAAAAAATAAACACAAAAGAGGTTGCAATTGAAAGAATCGACTTCGCTGCACTTGACTGTGTCTTTTTCGGCTTAGTTTTCCAAAAACAGAGCAGCTGGAAGTCTGCCTAGCGTAGCTGGAAGTCTATCTAGAGTAGCTGGAAGTCTACCTAGAGTAGGTGGAAGTCTACCTAGAGTAGCTGGAAGTCTACCTAGAGTAGCTGAAAGTCTACCTAGAGTAGCTGGAAGTCTGCCTAGAGTAGCAGGAAGTCTGCCTAGAGTAGCAGGAAGCCTACCTAGAGTAGCAGGAAGTCTACCTAGAGTAGCTGGAAGTCTACCTAGAGTAGCTGGAAGTCTACCTAGAGTAGCTGGAAGTCTACCTAGAGTAGCTGAAAGTCTACCTAGAGTAGCTGGAAGTCTGCCTAGAGTAGCAGGAAGTCTACCTAGAGTAGCAGGAAGCCTACCTAGAGTAGCTGGACACGGTAGGTAGACACTCTAGTAAGTCTGTCTCAGTACTTCGATTCAGTAACTATTCAGTCATCCCCTTGTGGTATGCAGTTGTTTGTTGTTTATATCCTGACCCTGGCTTATGCCGGGGGTCCTGAATAATAAATGGTCATGACGGCTGAGAGGGCTTTCTGGGACCTCTCCACGGGTGATCGTCAGCCGCATGGTGTCACTTTGTGTCACCGGGTGTTTGTCGCTTGTGTGATGTCCTGGTGGGGTACAACAAGACACAGAGAGAGACTGAGAGAGAGAGAGGGAGGGAGAGAGAGAAAGAGAGAGAGAGATTCAGTTACTCGACCACGGGATCAAAAGGATGTGCCGCTGACTTTTTCTCAGTTTTGAAGAAAACAAGCAGATCTTTGGAACAAGCGTCATACTCAAAGATCTGAGTATCGAGGAGAACTGGCTGATAAACAGCATCCTGTCCCTGAAGCTAGGGTATATTGGCCAGGGTAAACGTTATGGTGGCCTGGAAGAAAACTGATGATACCCCATACATTTTCCAGAAAACGAGGCAGAGGCAAGCAACCACGAAGGTAAATACAAGACTCTAAAGATCCTTAACTCTTTGAGTCCCAAGGAACGCATCATACGTTCATAGGTTGCTGTCTAGAAGCCCAATAAACGCACCGATTTTAAGTGTTTTTTGACAACCCCTTGGGCCTGTGATGCTAAACCCTCTGGGACTCAAAGAGTTAAGCTGTAAAAGCACACAGAGCTATAGGATTAGCTGGAGAAAGAGAGACTTTCAGGTGTGCCTTGAAGAGAGCGAGGTCGAAGACAGCGACTTGCTTCACCAGGCTTTACCCCGATGTCCTGTAATCATGTTACCGTCAGAGATTCGTCATTGTCCGTTTATTCTGGTCCTCTAAGTTATAAGTACTCTCAGATGGCTGCTGCAACTGTGGAGTGATCATATTTTGGAGTACTCAATGTTCAGGGACGTCAACTGTGATAACACTGAATAAATAACATCACGCTGGAATGGTTTATATACTGGCCATCTAATAGAAAGTCATTCAATGAGCTGTATGAATGGGTTTGAAGAAAATGTATATATTGCCATCATCTTTTACAGCCTGCATATTTAACATGTATGTTTCTTAGTTTACCTACATGGTACAATAAATGTAAATTGATCATTCTGTTATTTTGCCTATTAAACATGTCTGCCATTGGAGATTTTAATTAAGCACGTACAAAGAACCAGTTCGGCTTAAGTCATGCGCAATTAGTAAACAAGCCAAATAAACATTAGTCCGAACCAGTCTAGATTCGTCATCAAATTCAACCGCCATCTCTGTGCCTCTATGCTCAACGTACCCAGAAGAAGCTCAAGAAGGAAGGAAGAAAGGAAGGAAGGAAGGAAGGAAGGAAGGAAGGAAGGAAGGAAGGAAGGAAGGAAGGAAGGAAGGAAGGAAGGAAGGAAGAAGGAAGGAAGGAAGGAAGGAAAGGAAGGAAGGAAGGAAGGAAGGAAGGAAGGAAGGAAGGAAGGAAGGAGGAAGGGAGGAAGGAAGGAAGGAAGGAAGGAAGGAAGGAAGGAAGGAAGGAAGGAAGGAAGGAAGGAAGGAAGGAGGAAGGAAGGGGAGGGAAGGAAGGAAGGAGGGAAGGAAGGGAAGGAGAGAAGGAGGGGAAGGAAGGAAGGAAGGAAGGAAGGAAGGAAGGAAGGAAGGAGGGGAAGGAGGGAAGGAAGGAAGGAAGGAAGGAAAGGAAGGAAGGAAGGAAGGAAGGAAGGAAGGAAGGAAGGAAGGAAGGAAGGAAGGAAGGAAGGAAGGAAGGAAGGAAGGAAGGAAGGAAGGAAGGAAGGAAGGAAGGAAGGAAGGAAGGAAGGAAGGAAGGAAGGAAGGAAGGAAGGAAGGAAGGAAGGAAGGAAGGAAGGAAGGAAGGAAGGAAGGAAGGAAGGAAGGAAGGAAGGAAGGAAGGAAAGGAAGGAAGGAAGGAAGGAAGGAAGGAAGGAAGGAAGGAAGGAAGGAAGGAAGGAAGGAAGGAAGGAAGGAAGGAAGGAAGGAAGGAAGGGAAGGAAGGAAGGAAGGAAGGAAGGAAGGAAGGAAGGAAGGAAGGAAGGAAGGAAGGAAGGAAGGAAGGAAGGAAGGAAGGAAGGAAGGAAGGAAGGAAGGAAGGAAGGAAGGAAGGAAGGAAGGAAGGAAATAAGGAAGGAAGGAAGGAAGGAAGGAAGGAAGGAAGGAAGGAAGGAAGGAAGGAAGGAAGAGAGGAGAAACTGCTGTCTTGACGTTCAGATAGTGGTAAGAAAAGCGTACCATGGAAAATACCGGGCCTTTCGAGTCAAAGATTCCTACAGGCAGCAGTTAGTGCACTGCAGCCTGAGTTGAGTTTTGAGTTAGGAGTTGGATCATATTCACAGCACTCTGGACACATCCTTAGCTGCCTAAATTCTCCCTTCAACATATTAATCGGCGTCGCGGCGGTTAATAATGCTAGTCCTTTGATGGTTGACAAGACTGTTTGTGTCTCCTGTGTGCTTCTCATGCTTGTCTATGACGATCGTTACTCCCAGTTCTCATATTCTTAGCAGTGACTTGGACACGTTGCTTTACTACAGCCTGCCTGTATTGGCGGAGAGTATCATGAAAAAATATTAAACAGAAGAAAATTAGACCAAGTCAACTTCATATTATAACGATCACGAACGATAAGTGAACGTTGCGGTTAGAAAGCGTTCATCAAGACAGGACGTGAATAGACAATGTTACAGTTACAAGCAAGATTATACAAAATCACCTAGTAGAGGTAATTCAGAGAAAATCTTCATGTCTGGCAGTTGAAGCTCTGACACACGTGTGAATAAAGGAAATTGATACTAACATGTGAAAAGGGTTTGAAGGAAGTTATGAGGATTCCAAGGCATAATTCAAATACAAGGACAGGAAAATTACACATTTGGGAAAGTTCTTGACGAAAAAGTTAAGCTTTTTTAACCTCTCATTCTGAAGATAAAGAGTTTTCGTATTGCATTTTTCTGTGTATTTGTTTCTGAGGTCAACGAGGGTTGTCGCTGGGGTTGCGAGGATTCGTGGCTTATGTCACATTCTTAGAGGTAAACAGCATCTTTGTGGATAGATACTGGCCTTAAAGGACGCAAAATGGTGCAAAAAATTCAGTCTTTTGCCTCTACACATCACCATCAATTAGCAGGTCCTTTGCAGAACGTTGCTCTAATCACAGTCTGCCAAATCTGCCACGTGGTTAACTTTTCTACCCGAGGTGTCACTTAATTCCTAAGCTCATCTTTGTGCTGGTCGATCCCTGCTTTGTATCTTCTCCTACAATTAGTTCATATCCACCATGTCCCTTGATTTGGCAAAAATATTTCAGTTTCCGAAAGAAGATGTGAAATAAATACACATTATGTATTTAAACATCTTTTCATTAACAATAAAAATGGGGAGGGGAGAGAGGGCGGGAAACATCACTCATTACATATACCTTTTCTATAACCTATATATTTTCTATAAACTTCATCTTTGTACAAGAGCATGTGGGTGTTGTTGGTAATGAAAGACCCGACAGATTAGCCGGCTCTGCCTTAGTTACAGAGGTCCGGCCCATAGATCATGAAAACATTGTTAAAGCCATTAGAGAGGTAGGACGTTCAGAGGATATTTTGGGAGCAGCACATCCACATTTCTGCTAAGAGTGCAAGAAC